GGTTGCTATTTATACTAATAAAGAGTCGGCCAAGATGAAAAACAATATAGAAAGAAAGAGGCCGAGAATCAATATCACAGAAAAAGATGGAGAGTTCTTCATATGGAGGCGTGGAAGGAGTCGTAAGTTATAGACTAGTGATTGGCCAAAAATGGTAAGTTAGGTTAGGTTAACTTAGTGATCCAAACAAGGTTCAACACAAAGATAATGGGTTCCAAATGAATAACATAGCCCTCCAAGTAAATGGGATGGACCACGACCAACACTATTAAAATAGATTGCTTCTAACGGTCCATAGAAAATTGGGTTGGGTTGTCTCAATGAAGGTGTCGACATATAATTCAATCATATAGTCAAAGTCGACTGATAATAAATAAAATCGAAGTTACATCATTGCCCGGGAGGTCATTTGACAACAAATTACCTAACAGTACTATTATATTAAGCTCCTATTTGACAACCATTAAAATGATGGTTCTTGGAGAAAATGAGTTTTAAAATAGTGATTTTTTTAAAAATGTGTGATTAAAAAATGTGAAAAATTTCTAAGTTTACGTACATAATATTTTATGGGAAACATATATGGTAGAAAATGAACTTGAGAAAAAAATAGTCATTTTAATGATTGTCAAACAGGGCCAAATATTGCGCCCCACACACACTCCGAATCCTAATAGTTAGGTAAAGATGCATAAAATTCTTGGCCAGCCTGTTTTGGGCTCTTTTCAAGGTGTTTATTTACTGTCTTTTGTCTTTTCAATGTGTTTATCAGATTATCTGACTGGTGCAAACCTTTTAGGCTGTCTCTTTGAACTTGGACAGTTCAGAATATCTAAAGGATTCATTGGTCCTGCAAATTGGCTTGTTAGTGGTTTTAGAATGCTGCTGAGACTGCTACTCCATGCAAATCTCAAATTTAACAACATAGAATCTGGATTTACTAGCAAAGATGAAAATTTTCTGTCTCGACCCAAACAACCGTCAAGAAGAGTCTAGACAAGTATTAGTCGACCAAATAGAGTAACATTAATATCCGGGTACGGAACAACATCGCCTCAAGAGATTATCATCGATAATCTTTGAAAAATCATGTAGATATTGCAGGAGGGATCTTCAAGGATTCAGCAGTTTTGGAGACTCCATCAACACAAAATCGCAAAAATCCATCCGGTTCGTAAATGGTAGTTTTGGCGATTTAGGAGATCCCCAAGAAGGTGAAGAGCAGCCAGGAATATTGGTTTTTCGGCAACCAGAAATCTGATCTCCAAATAGCAGCTCTGGTATCTCCTCCATTTCCAAGTGCTTCACAGGACTCTCCAGCTGAAATATCGACAATTAGTTTACATTTAAGTGCGGCAGCGAATGTTCAACTCAAAGAAAAAGCCACGAACACGAGAAATAATAGGCACAAAAACGAGAAAAGAAAGTTGCAGCCAAAAGCAGAAGAATTCAGTAATTTTTATATATATCCATCAAAAAGATTTGGCCAGCTTTGAACTCACAGAAGGCTCAGAAAACACACAAAGGCATACAAAAAAGATATCCAACAACAAGAAAAGGATTGTATGTAACCTACACTTGGCTTAGACGATGATCCAAATGCCCTTGGAGATGATGGCCACATAGGAACATCTGAATTAAGAAAATGTAAACCAATTATCTACAGAGATGTGTGTATGCCCAAAAAAAAATAAAGTTGATAATGTCATAGATAGCATTTACTACCATTATCTAGTCCGATGACTGACTTCGTAAGATAATCCACATCCACAGCCTTTCTCTGGACTTTGATGCACTCGTGATGATTGTGCAGGAATCCCTCCTCCTCAATGCAAACGGGAACATTTTCTTCAGCTACGGGATTCAACTTTTGACCCTTTTTTGGAACTGCCTGCAAGGATGGCTTCACGGAGTTTGTAAGATCACCAAGTACTTTTCTACCACCCATTTTCCCCCCAACAACAGACTTAGTTTTCGACACACTAAGATCTTTCTTCGTTCGAAGCACAGTAGCATTTCTCGAGTTTGATATGTCATTAAGAGCTTTTCTTCCACCGAGCCCTTCTTTCTTATCTGCTTTGGTGACACCAGTCTTACCCCCAAGAGTAGCACCTAAACAAGACAGCAATATGTTAGCCGATGCCTAACCAAGAAACACCAAAAGACGATTTTACTACCAAAGATTAAAATTAGCAATTACCCTTAGAAAGGATATTGTGATTCTGATCCTGAATAAGGTGACTAGCTGGGGTTGCCATGAGTGCTTTTTCAATAAAAAATCAGTAGAATGATCTGCAGTCACACATATCTGAAAATTAGTAACAAAATATGTAAAACGAAAAACAAAAATCTATATACCAATAAATTATGAACAAAAATCTATATACCAATAAAAATTATACTATTAACTAGTTCTAAATTTTTTGTAGAAGTCATTGATGCTAATTATCTGAACTTATTTTTCATAGGGACTTGTAGAAACATTCAGGCATTCAAAAGTTTGTTATTGAATGCACAGGAAGAAACCGAGTCTTAGTTAGAGACTTAGAGCATATGGAAATGTAATGTTGGAATCAAATGAAAAAGCAGATGCGGGGTTTCCAGGCAGTGCAGGCAGATTGTACATAAATTCATAACTTCCATTGATGCATCAATATTTAACAAGGTAAAAACTCAATCATTCGAAGGATTTTTCTCTTTCGCTTAATTGCTTTTGCTTCCTGTTTGTGATTTAATAAAATCTAAAATCATTAGACCACAATGTATCACTTGATACAACACATTAAGTAATCGCACAAGTTGAAAATTCTCTAAAATAATCACACAACTAAAAATTCCACCTGTCAACATAGGCCAGAATTTTCTTCAGGCAACTCGGTTCCTGTTTACCTTTTCATTATACAGCTTCATATTCCATCACTTCAAAACATACTGTACGTTGTATAATGCGATATCTGCGGCTAGATCTCAGCCCAAATAAATGAAATAATCCTTAATATTGGTACCAAAATAACTTTTCCCACCAGTATATGATTCTCATTTTCCCCACTTGCCCTCTTTATTTATTTCAATTTTATACCTTAAAAAGTGGTTTACTTAATTAAAAATCACTTCTTCAAAATAATTAATCATGTTATCACTTTATCATTCCTGAACATTTTTCCCTCTCATTATCTCAAATACCCATTACCTTTCTTGAATAGTGAATACTCAAATCATTCATCATAACAGAAGAAAATCAGAATAAAAATCAATATCTAACCTCGGAATTCAAAAACCCATTGAGTCTATATATAT